CTGGCGGTGTTGCTGTGCTGTCTAAAAGCCAACACACAAGTAGAGGATGAGGTTGTGCAGGCTGTCCTGGCCACGGTGATGGAGTGGCGGAACAGCAAGGAGGACTGGTTCCTCTTTGGCAGGTAATGTAATCGCAACATTTACAAAGTGTGTTTTCTGTTTTTGTCATACTTGTTGAAACACTATCCAAGCTTAAGATATTTTCTACTGATATATCTACATTTGTCTCATCTTTGCATTTCAGTGACCTGTCTAAAGCAACTGCAGAACAGCTCAACCTTGCTGTGGAGTTGATGCGTTTCCTGTCCTGGCTGGTGACTAATAGTCCCACAATTCTCGGGGGCAGCCAGTGGGACTTCTTGCTCTGCTCTATGTTAGCCTGGCTGGAGGTGAGACATCATATGTATAGTGTTGTTTTGTTACGGGCTTTGAGATCCGAGGCCAGGGTCGGCTACAGAGAAATGCCTCCCACAGCTGGGAGTCCAGTTTCCAGGACAGTGGAGCAGAGTGGAAGCTTCCTGTCATGTGGTGTCAAACTCTTGAACTCAGATATTTGAATTGTTGAGTCATTATGCTACTCTGCTGCCTCCTAACACAAAAAGCAGTTCTTTTTTTGGTTCTACATTTTCAACAATTGCAGTTCTTCATTTATGGCTTGCATCTGCAGTCCCTCACCATCTTTGACCTTATTTCCTCAGACTGCCTGCGAGAATGTGAGCAGTCTATGGAACCTATGGGTGCAGCTGTTTGTGTGTGAGAACGCTGCTTTGATAGTGGAGCTCAACCAGTTCTTCACATCATCTTCGCCAGATGTTCTGGAGGAGCTGCCGTCAGAACTGACTGCTGAATGGACGGACTTCTTTGTAGAGGGAATCTACAACCTGTTGTTGCCTCTGCCTATAAAAATCACAGGTGTGTGTGTGTGTGTGTAGATCAAGACCTAGATAATCTCTGGAATAAACACTCTAAAAAATCAAGTGCCAAAACCTACCCAGTACTTGCTTTTCATTTAGCACATCTCTAGGTAATATAGTTGCTAAATGAAGAACATTTACATGTTTTACTATGTCCCAAAACTGCCAGTGCAATATAATAACTTTATTTGTATAGCATCTATCCAAACAAGGTTACAAAGTAAAGTATACAAACAGTTAAGGCAAATATATATATATATATATAATGTATGTAACAGTCCTGATTTAATAAGTCATAGTCCTTCTACCTGTTTGTTCTCTAACTCCAGATGCCTTCACTGAACCGGATGACCCTGTGTTCCCTTTGGCGGTACTGCAGTCAGTTGGCGTGGCTCTGACATATGTTCCTGTGCAGCAGCTAAAACAGAACTCCCTGCCACCACGGTTCATAGTGGACCAGAATACAAACCTGCCAGAGCCCCTCCAGACGCTCCTCAACACTTTCTGTCCTCTGCTGCTGTTTAAGGCCAGGCCTCTGCAGATCACCGTCTACCACTTGTTAGAAAAGTAAGGATTTTGTTCGAGAGTGCGGGTAACTTTTTCTTTAAAAAAAAAAAAAGACATTTCTGCTATAAACTGCCCCAGTACTGTGATGAGTAATCACCTTGTGCTTACCACAAGATTTAAAGAAAAATGAGCCTGCTTATTGTTTATACAGGGTTATGCCTCAGCTGCCAGAGTGTGATGGAGAAGGAGACAACAACAAGTCTGATGATGATCGAGATGAGCCATGTCTGTAAGTAAAGATTGTAACCATATGTGATAGTTACTGGATTCTAGGTATTGAGTTCACACAGTACTAGAGAAAAATATGTACAGGTGATATTTTTGATTTTTAATCTTACAGTTAATGTTTGTGTTCAGTTCCCCTCCAGCATCTCTGATGGCCATCCTGTCGACCTGCGAGGAGCTGTGTGATAGCATCCTAGCAGGAGTTCAAGTTGGAGAGTTTGCCGTGGTCCAGCCTCTCAGTGTGGAGTATTCCTGTATCCTGGGGTACTTGCTGGCCTGGAAGCTGCTCCTCACTTTTTTCAAATCCTCACCCTCCTGTGTGAGTCAAATATTTAGTACATATGTTTGCTTTTTTGTTGTTGTTGCAGGTTAAGACTTCAGATTCCATGGAGAGATTGTGCTTTCATGTGTGAGAACAGTCGTGTTGATATCAAAGTTATTTCACAGTATTGACTGCTCTTCTGATTTCTCTCTAGCTGCGTGCCCATTATGCCCAGTATCTTAAGAGGAGCTGCTCCCTTAACAAGCTCCTCCTTCACCTCTTCAAACTGATGCCTGAGAACCCCATCTACCCAGGCCAGGGGGCAGAGACAAAGGAGACCAAAACCTTCTTTACAGAGAGCCTGTCTCTGGCTGTTGACAGTAAGTAGCACACACACACACACACACGCACACACAACGTCTGCACATGGGCTGTGAAATGTTAACAAGCTTAGATTTTCCCTCCTTTGTTTCTTGCCTGCAGAAAGCGAGAGCGTTGAGTGGGAGCTCCCTCATCTGGCCTGCAGTGTGTACTACAGCACAGTGCAGGACCTGCCCGCCATGGTGCGGCTGTGGTGGAACAGCCAGGAGAAGAGAGTGAGCGCCGCTGTGGAGAAGTTCACTATTAAATACGTCAGTCCTGTTCTCTCAGCCCAGGAGATCTCATCTGTCCATTCCAGCACTCAAATGTTTGACAGCATGACTGTAAGTTAGCAGATACTCTTTTACTTTTAGAACTATTATGAGATTGAGGTTATTTACTGTGGTGGATTTGTAATAATAATTGTGCAGCAACAATAGGCAGACAATAGATTGTAAAGCAAACTGTGTATTTATTTATTTGCCCCAGGTGAAGGCACGCTCAGCAGCGCGGGAGGTGATTGCTACCTATTCCGTGGATGATATCTTCATTGAGTTAGTGATTCAGCTACCTCAGAACTACCCTCTAGGCTCGATCACTGTGGAGAGTGGGAGGCGCGTGGGAGTTGCCGTACAGCAGTGGAGGAACTGGATGCTGCAACTGAGCACCTACCTCACACATCAGGTAGATACACAAACACAGTGGATATAAACTCAAGAAGGTTGTGTCAGTTCTTCAACCTGAAGACCTGTAGCCACGCTCAAGTACATTGTAGTGTACTTGAGCAATTCATGCCAAGGGGGCTGTGAACATACTTTCTTTTGGGGGATCAGTAAAGAAAAAGATGAAACAATTCAGTATAAAGTAAATGTGTGTCTGTGTGTTCAGAATGGCAGTATAATGGAGGGCCTGGCTCTGTGGAAGAACAATGTGGATAAGCGTTTCGAGGGAATAGAGGATTGTATGATCTGCTTCTCCGTTATCCATGGCTCCAACTACTCCCTGCCCAAGAAGGGTTGCCGCACCTGCAAAAAGAAATTCCACTCAGCGTGTTTGGTGAGATTTATGTGCCGAGATGATATTGCACCCAGTGGTGGGCTGTCAGGATCTTCAGGGCCCTCTCTGTGTAACAGAGGACAATAACACTGGCAATAAACTGCAGTTTCTATATAATTAATCTGGTACAATGATGCTTTAGGACGATTTTTCCTTTTACTGGGACCTAATTGAAGGCAAATTCATAAATCTGCAGCCCGCTACTGGTTGTCTCACAATTTTTATATACAATTTAATGCATAACAACAGTTGAAAGTGGACATACTTTGCTTTTTTGACATTGTTTTGTTGTCATCTTTTACACTGATATATTTTTTTTCTCATTTTCCTACAGTACAAATGGTTCACTTCCAGCAACAAGTCCACCTGTCCACTCTGCAGAGAAACCTTCTTCTAACACACAGATTGTTGACTCAAAGGTTGACAGTTCTTCGGTCAGTCAGGCCCGGTTCGGTTGTGATTACATGAAGAAGGTTAAGGAACTCAAGGTCTAATTTCTAAGGTCAAAATATGGATTGAGATTCTTTCTCAGAGTAAAATAGCAGGCATTGTTTGGCTGAGAATATCATGTTTCATGCGCTCAGTTGAAGTCTGAGCTAAAGTACAGTAAAAATCTAGTGAGGATTGTTTTCTGGCGACTTTTATCTCCATATTCAGCAGTGTGGGTTGATAAGCTGTCAACAGTTTGTTTATACCAGTGCTTTACTGTACTGCTCCCTGCTGATGTTTTTCTGTTATTAATGAGGTTTTTTATCTTTTTTGTGGACTTAATTGTTTTATCTTTTTGAAATGTGCAGGTGTGTTGAAGAGGTTGAATCATAAAGTTTGAAAAACCAAAGTTGTCCAGAGGCTTCATAGCACCTGAAATTAGTAACTTTACAAACAAACAAACAAACAAAAAAGATTACAATGCCCAGGACAGGTTTCACAAATATTTCCTAATATTTAGGATTGTAAAGAGATTATGTCTGATTAGTGACATGCCTTATACCATTATGACATGGTGAGATCACACATGAAAAGCAGGAAAGGGACCTTCTTTAGGGTTTAGGTTTTTTTCATTTCTAAATGCCAGTGCACATAAATATCAAAACCTAATGATATGTGTCTTCCCCTGTGCCTGCATATAGCTGTAAATCATGCTGGAAAGTAAATAAAATACAACTAGATGGCTAATATTATCGGATGCATGTTGTTGTCTTTGCTTCAGCACTTACGAGACGGGTCAAACAAAGGGTACCCACAGCAAACATGTAACCCACGTTCCACACAGAAACTTATGTTTATATTAAAGATGGTGTCCTTGGAATGTGTGCTTGAACTCTCATGCATACTTCACACCACGTACAAATATTTTTGAATGCTGATCTGAATGTACAGCAGGTAATGTCAGGATGGTAAAATATATATATAACTCAAAAATATATATACTAATTCAATATATATATATACAATATATATATATCATATATATATTACTATATAATATAATATAAAATAATATATATATTTCATATAATATAAATATATATATAAGTATCTTACCATCAATTATTCTACACTATTCCTACTCAATTACATACAG